TTCTCGCACATATTCTTGTTGCACATCCTGTTCCAATCACACTGTTGCTGTTTCACTTTATACTTTCTCTTCGAAAGCCACGGAGAGAAAGAGTGAGTGAGTGAGTTCTTTGAATGTGTAGCCACCGGGATTATTGAATTTCACAATGTCATCTAACTGCCCTTCACCTGGGTCGGACACATTCGCTGAAAGCCCTCCGCTTGTGACACTCGAACTAAACACACATGTATCTTCGTGATCCCTTCTTTTCCATCCCCCTCCCCCCGGTCCCTATCACACACACACATCACACATCCTGACTTCCGTCTTCATCCTCATCCCGGCCTGAGTCGCGAACTCGGGACTCGCTACTCGCTTGTGTTTTCTCAGTTCCTTTGTGTGCTGACCAAATTGCTTGCTTATTTGTACGGTTGTTTATACAGGTGGACACTAGAAGCGCTTCAACACCCAGCATTTTCTTCCCGACCCCGTTCTACTCACGCCTCATTTTGTGACACAATTGCGGTTGTGCTTCACTTTTCCCCGTGACTTCCCGACTCCAGGGCGACAGCACACCACACCACATTGTACATGAACCTCGTCTTTCCCCGTCTTTCGCGTTCGTTTTTCTTCTTCACTTTCCTGTCCATCCACTTCTCACTCGTCCCGCCTCTTTTCCCTTTTGTCCCCACCGTTTCAATTTGGATTAACGCGCTCCGTTCTGTTTTGTGCCGTGTCTCGCTTGGTTTTGTTTGTTTCTTCTTATTTTCCTTCGTCTTTTTCACAATCTGTTTTTAAAGGATGGATTCGTGCATCACCATCTTTGTTCCCTCAGTTTCTCGCCCTCGCCCCGCCCCACAATGCACCAGTTTCTTTCTCTTCTGTTTTTGATCTGCTTTTATCAAGGTATCGGGTGTGTGGGAGAGAATGTGTCTTCCCAACACCCCACCCCGTATCCTTACGCTACTGTTGCCATATTCTGTTCAGATTACATGCCGTTCTGCACATCCAAAAGCCATGCCTACACGTGCGTGTTCCCCTAGATTCCTCTTTCAGGATCAGTGCACATACGATCTATCAGGCACATTTGTCCGCGCATCGCTTGGGCAGTGTTACCGTCCCGGGCCAGTCCATTCACACTATAGATAGGAAACTAACGGAGTTCAGGAGTTGAATGCGTTAACACCACATTACCATAGTAACATCTAGTGTTGTTTTCACGAACAACCAACTATTCGTGGCTTCTTCAAGATCACAAAATTTGTGATCGTGAACCAAAGAAAATGGTATGTATGCATTCACTGGACGAACATCCTACTAGACCATGGATTCGAGTTTCGCTGTTGTCAGAACCCATCAGAAGTGCATATTCGCTGGCCTGTCCGGAAGTTGAACTCCGGGACTGTAGCATGAAACGTTTGTGCTATCACTGTCAGTCAGCTCCAGGTCTACAGTCTACAGGTCAAAGGGGTTGAAGATCCATACATTCGACAGAATCCCCCCGCCCACACGTTCGTGCGTATGTTGTTGTGATCAGTAGATCCAGCGGACAGTGAACCACACGTGCTCAATTGTTTGTGTACTGCGAACAGTTTCATCCAGATGGGCAGGTGAGATGCAAACACAGTTCACAGTGAGAGTAATGGAAGATTTGATTGGTCTATATGATGGATAGTCCGAGTGAGCCGAGACGCTGGAAAGCTGTTTCGACCTGTTTGGGTCTCATCGGTGCGGTGCGCGAATCCATCAATCCAACTGGGGATCACGAGACTGGGACCTCGTNAAGCAAGCCTACCACCCACTCGGCCACTGGGCAGCTGATTAGACTGTTTCTCGTTTTGTGTAGGCGCGATATAGCACAGACCATCTTTTACGAGCTTGTTGCTAGTATCAAATCTAGGACCAAAGAAAAGATTCTATCCTCACAAGCCAACAGGGACAGCCCGTTCCAGTCGGGTCGGAGGAGCTATGCCTTTTGAGATAGAATATTTTCCTGGTAACTTTAATCTCAGATAACTCACTGATATCAACCGGCAGTGCTTACCCTGTTGAAGCAAGAATTGTGAGGTCTAATGTCGATCTGGGCCAGTTGAAATGTGCCCATCGCTCAAGATGATGTTGCTAAATATGAATCGGTGCGCTGTCAGACTCACACCTAATCTTCTTGATCCTGCGGTCCTAATTAGATTGAAATATTGCGAATTTACAACAACTGCAGTCTTCTCCATCTCTGCATTTTACTACCCACCACATCTCTTGATTACTCTCAAGGCTTTTGATGAACTGGCGTTTGAGGGATTTGCGCATCGTTGTCTAATGTGGCATCTACAGGAATGGCTCTGCAGGCGTCCAGCAAGGTAACCGAGGTGGAGCAGATTCATCGTTCGAGCTTTGATCGTGCACTAGAATTCTCGGTTGTCTTCATTGGCATTTACACAGCTTCTTTGATTGAGGTTCAGTCCTTTGGCAGGTGATGAAAGGCTTTCGCTTCGAAGGTCGATTTGCAAAAATCGCTCACACTGTATTGAGAGCATCCGTTCCAGGTGGGTTTTGCGTTTTCTAACCAGACTTCCGGGAAAATATATCTCATTTCAGAACATGGTCCGTGGGCACGGGTGTTGGCCTGTGAGATTTGCAACTTCGACTGAATCCCCGCCAGTGGTAGCCGATGGCAGTGTGTGGGATTTGAGTCCATCGCTGCGAAGAGGTGGGCTGTTTCCATGTGCCATTTCTTGTGCGTGATGGTAACAATTCCTGGTCCGCGCAAAGTTGAAGTAGGTGATCTCCACCGTCCGTCCTGTTATCTGGGATTGCATTTGGACCGAGAAAAAAATCTTTGCAATCCCTCCAGGGAACCCAACTGAGTATTGAAGTCTCCAGCGAGTACTACTGTTGTGAGCAGTATATTTGGATTGCGCAAAAGAATGTGATTGGCTGTTCTCTCAAAGGTCAAAAATGAACATATTGGGGCGAATTACTGTGTTCAGAATGGTAACTACGGGAAATGCGCATCCACTGTCGAACTGTTACTTTGATTATCCGGTGTGCTTGTGGGAATTCGGAAGACTTTTTCCAAATAAGACACTTTGTTGCATGTATGCCAGTTTACCGATACTGTTACCAGTATTCGTAATTAATAACTCCCTTCGTCCGGGCACTTTGGGGCAGATAAGAAAGGTCCTTGTAGAATTCATCCTTAATTTCCGGTGAACTGCGCTCATTCGGTGCCTATAGGGGATAAGCACCGGCGCATCGCTCTGTTGCTGTTGACCCGCGTACTGAGCCGTTGAGAGTAACAGCTTACAATCGCCTATTCGCAGAATCCAGTTAACAAGCGAGCACTCAGCCTAGGGACCAGCTACAGCAATACCGCGGATTTCACTGGCCGAATCCCTGGAAACAGGAAGAGTAAAATGTGAGGATAAGGTTAGGCGGTACCAGAACGCAGAGAGCTGATTATATGTGCTTCGGAGACAGCATCTATCTAAATGGAAGTTTCAGGGGTTCTAGCTAAGGCAGTGCGTTGACCAATCTGATAGGGTGTGTTCGAACAATAAAT